ATATAATTATAGATTTAAAGGTTGTTGGTGATGTTAAGATTGTTAATATTATAAGTGCTTATGCTCCTCAAGTAGGCTTGGATATGAGTTCAAAACTAAAATTTTGGAGTGTCTTAGAAGAATTAATACAAACGATATCTCTTGAAGAAAGAGTTTTTATTGGAGGAGATTTAAATGGACATATTGATAGAGAAGTAGATGATTTTAAAAGCATTTATGGTGATCATGAGTTTTGAACTATAAATAAAAGTGATAAGATTATATTAAATTTTTGTTTAGCTTATAATTTTTTAATAGCTAATATTTTATTTAAGAAAAGAGATGAGCATCTTTTCACTTATAATGATGGATATAGTAAAGCACAGATTGATTATTTTTTTATAAGAAAATTAGATCATTTAGATTGCAAATATTGTAAAGTTATTCCGAGCAAAAATTTTTGTACTTAACATTGATTGTTAGTTTTAGACTTTTAGATAAAAGAGTAAAAAATAAATAATAAAAGAAAACTATATTTTAGGATTTGATGAGGGCATTTAAAAAATAGTAATAAAAGTATTTTTTAAAGTAAGATTTTAGATCTTAAGATTTTGTCTATGCATGAGGATGTTAATGTTGTGTGGGAAAAAATGGCTAGTGTTATTAAGAATTTTACAAAAGATATGCTTAGAATTTCGAAGGAAAAAATTCTTAATAATAAAAATAGTTGGTGGTGGAATCCAAATGTGTAAGAAAGATAAAAAATAAGAAGATTGTTATAAAAATTGATTTAGATGTAAAAATTCTAATAATTGGGAATGCTATAAAGGGGCTCATAAGAAATTTAAAAAAGCTATTTGCAATGCAAAGTTCTTAGCTTTTAATGATTTATATAATAGGCTAGATATTAATGAGGGAGAACAATATATGTATAAGTTTGTCAAACAAAGGGATAAGAGTAGTAAGGATTTAGTTCAAGTGAAGTATATGAATGATGAAGATAAAAAAGTATTTTTCTTAGAAGATGGTATTCAAAAAAGGTGGATGAGATATTTTGCTAAACTTTTTAATGAAGAAAGTGAAAATACGATTGACTTTAGTGACTTTAGCATCCTAAATAAAAATATATATTTTTATTTTTATCGGCGTATAAGTAAAAATCGAAGTTAGAGAGAAGTTTGGAAAATTTGTTGGACCTGATGATATACCAATAGAGGTGTGGAAATTGCTTAGGAAATGAAGGAATTTCTTGGCTTACTAAACTTTTTAATACTATTTTGAAGAATAAAAATATGTTAGATGGGTGGAGAATGAGTGTGTTAATTCTTATTTTTAAGAATAAAAGTGATGCACAAGAGTAATTAAGTTAATGTGTCATACTTTAAAACTATGAGAGCCAGTAATGGAGCGTAGGTTGCGGCATGTTACTAATGTTTCTCAAAATCAATTTGGATTCATGTCAGGTAGGTTTACTATACAAGCCATACATTTATTGAGAGGTTTGATGGAGAATCATAGAGAGAATAAGGAGGATCTACATATGATATTTTTTGGTTTAGAGAAAGCATATGATAAAGTTTTAAGAGAAGTGTTATGGAGAGTTTTTGAAAATAAATGAGTTAATAACGCTTATATTCAAATCATTAAAGATATGTATGCATGAGCTATTACTTGTGTTCAAACACAAGATGGTTTGACCAAGTATTTTCCTATTTCGGTTGGATTACATCAAGGATCAGCTTGAAGTCCATATCTTTTTGCTTTAGTCATGGATGTTCTCAATAGACATTTGCAAGAGGATGTACCTTGGTGTATGATTTTTGTTGATGATATTCTTCTTGTTGATAAGACTAGAGGGGGAGTTGAAGGTAAACTTGAATTATGGTGGTCAACCTTAAAGTCTAAAGGTTTTCGCTTGAGTATATCTAAAATTGAATATATACAGTGTAATTTTAGTAGCAATAGACCTAGTGAGAGAATAGTTGGGGATATTATCAGCATAATTCAAGTTGGATGGTTGAAGTGGAGGAATGCATCTGGCTAGTTATGTGATAGAAAAGCCCCCCTCAAACTTAAGGAAAAATTCTATGAGATTGTTGTAATACCTGCAATGCTTTATGGTGCTGAATGTTGGCCATTAAAAGAGAAGTAATACTAAGTTAAGTGTTGCAGAGATGAGGATGCTCAGATGGATGACTAGCTTTACCCTTAGAGATAGGATATGAAATGAACATATATATGTAAAGGTTGGAGTAGCTGTCACGATCCAGCCCGGTAAGCTCGTATAGTTGAGGCGGGTATGGAGGTCAGACGGTAGACTAAAATATCCAATTTTTAAATCTATCACCATAATATTTGAAAGAGCCACTAAAGCATTAAATTTGAAAACACATAAACATAAAATCATTAAGACTCATATAGTTACCTTTCTTCCAGCGTGCCTCTCCTATGGTAGGCATTTCCTCCCTTCTTCTTATGATGATTAAAATAATGATGCCTGAAAATTTTTTGAGCAACTAACAGTAAGCCAAAGCTTAGTAATTAAAACATGCCTCTAAACTACAATAATTCAAGACATAAGGAGTAATATGCTAAATGCCACTATTCATTTAAACATATAATAAATTTTATTTCTTATAAACATATTATTAAATATACACATTAATCATAAATCCATATCCTTTCATATTTAGTTTACATTTATCTTATCAATATTCATAACTTTTTTAGTTCATATATAGTACAACCGTCATAACAACCGTCACAGAAGCCACCATCTAGTGCCATAAAGGTAATCCTTTATCATTTCCTTTTGCATAACGTTTACCATTTTAACGTGCACGAGTATAGCGTTACAGCTAGTATCATAAGGGGGTGAGCTCCATCATTTCAACATGCACATGCAATCACTCAATATATCATTCATATCATATTCATATATCATAATACTAAGTTTTATCATATGCCTTATACAGTAATATACTGAATCACATAATATGCGAGATATAAAATATGAACTCAATTGAAATGCAGTAAAATAAATAAATGTTATTCAATAACAATTAAATAAAAAATTGAAACGATAAAATTACCATATTATAGAAACATGTTTACTCATCTTGAAATTGAAAAATTGATTTTCTTTACTTGATCTCCTTCCTTCGAGGTCACAACAACTAACACCTATATTAAAATATTTAATATTCATAGTTTATCGTTAATCATCTCAAACTTAATTCCTAAAGAAAAGTGAAGTTTGTGTCAAATCCTAGCTTTTTCTTTTCAAGTAAATGTCATGGAAAAATAAGGATTAACTTGATTAGAAACTTACCCTAGTCTCCTTGAATCTTCCTCTTCGATTTCCCATAAGCCCTGCCGCCGGAGCCGCTCACGAGGTCCCCCCGTTGCCTAGCCCGTCTGCCCTCTCTCTGTCTCCTTGTGTTCGGCCGAACTGTGCGGGAGAATAAATGAAAGAGACCGAAACTATTCGGTCCCTTAAGGTGTTAGACGGTTTAGAGAAAAACCAAAGGACCAATTTGCCCTCTCATGCTTCACATTCGCTTTAATATATTAAGCGTATTTTAGGCATATTAAAACTTATATGATTTTTAATTTCAAATCTAAGACAAATTTCATATAAGTACTTTATACCGTTTGCTTGAAAATTTATGTATAATTTATAAAATTAATTTTGTCGAAAACTGACGACTTTGAAATTTCACTTAAATTTTGTTGTGGTGCATCAAAAAGCGTGCGATATCACAAATTAAAATTTTTCGAGTTTTACAGTAGCTCAAGTGGAAGATAAGATTAGAGAGAGTTGCCTTAGATGGTTTGGTCACATTAAACGGAGGCCTTCCAATGACCCGGTTAGAAAAGTTGAGGTATTAGATTTGGCTTATATTAAGAAAGGTAGATGTAGAACTAAAAAGTCTTGGTTAGAAAATATTAGAAAGGATCTCTCTTTATTAGATTTAAAAGAGAATTAGACTTTTAGCATAACACAATGACGAAAAAGGATTCATGTAGCCGGCCCCACGTAGTAGGACAAAGGCTTAATGTTGTTGTTGTTGTAGCCTTTCTTATGACCCTCGAATCCCTGTAAATATAGGATAGTGAGGAACCATAATTAGATCTGCATCTTGACTTTTTAAAGTGCAACAAGGCTCTTTTGAGTTTCTAAGTTGTATTCTTGATTAAGATAGTTTAAGGCTCTACTAGTCTTTTCTTCTCTACTTATTTCCCTATTTTCTATTTACCTATTTTAACTAACAGTTTCCCTTTAGCTTTCTAAGCAAATTTACTTGTATGGTTCGGTATCATTCACCAGACAAATTTGAATCCAATAGAATAGGTTAATAAAAAAAAAAAAAAAAAAAAACAATGCAACAAAATAATCCCCATGCCCCACTAAAATGTGCCAGCTGAGTCACATATTGGTCGAAAGAACCATATAAATTTTCAAATTCACCAAATAAATCCCCCAGCAAAACAACAGGACTGCTTGGCCTGATTTGGATTACTAAGCCTTATGATAGGTTGGCATATTTTATCATTTGATCTCAAAAGTATTCATAAGAATGCCTATTGATTTTCTCATTTTATTTCTTTGTTTGTTTTTTCTCTGTTAATTAACCTTGATTTTATTCTACCCTTTAAGCATTAGCACTCTTTCTTGGCTCGTTGTTTTTACTATTTTATTGTTTATTTATTTTTTAATTTTGGATTGTTAATCTTTAAGATCTTGCATAGTTTTTTTTTTTGCAGAATTGTTTTATAAATATTACTTATCGGGAAGCTAAAATAACCGTCAATCATTCTTTTTGCATTGCTATGTTTCAAAAAAATATGCAAATCTTAACAAGTATCATTTGGAATGATTGCACTGGCATTGAGATAAAACTGTAATGATAAACAGTAGTCTACTTTAAATAGCAACAAACCGTACTATCCCTGAGTGCTATTCCTAATTTAGTTGCTGTCTTGTTTTTAATGTTCAATATCTTTGTTACTTGATTCAGAAAAGAAGTTGGCTTTGATGGATGGAGATTAGACTTTGTTCGGGGTTTTTGGGGTGGTTATGTCAAAGATTATCTGTTGGCAAGTGAACCTTATTTTGCTGTAGGCGAGTACTGGGACTCTCTCAGCTATGAGTATGGTGAAATGGAATACAATCAAGATGCACACAGGCAGAGAATCATAGATTGGATAAATGATACAAATGGGACAGCCGGGGCCTTTGATGTGACTACAAAAGGAATCCTTCACACTGTAAGATATGCTAATTATTTTAGCCTTTTTTGTCCTTTGGTACATTATATCTTGAACTCTATTAGAATTTTTCAAAAATCAAATCCTTTTCTTATCAGTCACATAAAATCACTTTTTAATATATTTTTGATGATATCATTTTGTAAAGCTAGATTATCTTAACATTTATACATTTTGTTTTTCTTTTCAATTTGTCAGAAAAAACCAAATTCATGTCTTGATTTTCCCATGAAATTGCTATAAGAATCATAATACTAATAATTTGTTATATGCTAAGTTTGGACTTCGATTTTCTAAAGAAATAGGCCTTATTTTTCTGCTAGGCCTTTTTTTGCCCACCGTTGCAAACAGTGGGCATTTAGCTTGTAGATATCTATTAAATTTGGTGGAAGAACTTGGATGCATTGCTCACATCATTATCCAGATATCAGATGTTCAATCGCAGAGGCAATCTCTCTACTAAAACAGGGATATGCTTGCATTTATCCTTCCAATACACAGGGTTGCTGGAGGTTCATACACCTGATACACTATTATTTTTTTTTATCGGAACTTTTTGCCATGGACGATTTCAGTTTGCCATCCAAGTGATTCCTACATTATTATATGATGGGACATATTTCCATTTTCATTGGTATTCTTTTTTTAATATCAATTCTTGAAGCTGATTCTGTACAGATTGGTAAGTTGTGAAAATTCTGCATGCTCTATTTATTTAGCTCAAATCCTTTCACATTTTGAGTTGATTTCATATGCATTTATTTTAAATCATGGATTGATACGTAAAACTTTAAGAACCAAATGACAGGAATCATCTCTTTTAGACTGTCTTTTCTTTTGTTCTATTTGTTTTTAATCTTCCGTTTCATGTTTAGATGACTTTCGCAATGCATGAGAGCATTTTTTCTTTTCATTTTAATTTTTGTAATTAATAATGGTTGGTGAGTGCATGACATAGAGCATCACTAGTGATTCTCTTTGTAATAGGCTTTGGAAAAATGTGAGTATTGGCGCCTCTCTGATGAGAAAGGAAAACCACCTGGTGTACTTGGGTGGTGGCCATCTCGTGCAGTGACATTTATAGAGAATCATGACACTGGTTCTACTCAGGTAATGTCTAATTGCTATCTTCTACATTAATGTATGTAATGTACAAAATTTGAGTAAACGCTCAAGTTTCTTGTCTGTTACTTTAATTTATGTAATACACAAAATTTGATTAAACGGTCAAGTTTCTTGTATGTAATATATACATTGCATATTCTCTTTCCAGTTCACTCTATTAAATTGGTTTCTGATTTTCCCCTCCCATTGTTATTATGATCGTTCCTAGTAGGCTGCTTTTTTGTTTGTGACAAGGGCGCATCTATCTGCATGTGAATCACCTTCCTGTGGATTATAAATTTTCTTTGAAACGGTTGTTCTTTAATGCTTTATATGAGATATTTGACCCATGTATGAGTATTTTCCAAGGCAATCATTGCATTTTGAAACTGAAGCAAAGCGTAGTTGTGTTTTCGCTTTCATGCTATCCTCGAAAGGTTTTAAAAAATTTTCAATTTAAAGGCCTCCCTTGTGATGTTTATTTTGGAGATTTTTTTTGTTACTTGACCTGTGCGCTATCTGCAATGTAACTGGTATTTTGTTCTTGAGAGTTTCATGTTATTCAGTTTACCGGCACTTTGTTTATATTATGCAGGGTCATTGGAGATTCCCATCAGGCAAGGAAATGCAAGGATATGCTTACATCTTGACACATCCTGGCACACCAGCAGTCTTCTATGATCATATTTTCTCTCATTATCAGCAAGAAATCTCTAAACTAATCTCTCTCAGACGCAGATGCAAGATCCACTGCAGGAGTATGGTAAATACCCACTACAAATTAGAAATTAACTTCACCATAGGTTGAGAATAACTATTTTTTTGGGGCAGCTCAAGATTTTGCCTTTCAGATTATTGTCACTCTTCCTTTTGGTTATTGCTTTCTTGCAATTTTTTTAAAAAAATTGTGGGGACAAACAATTTTTTATAATCAGATATGTATGTGTGTATAAGGGAAAAGATTGGAGTAGCTCCAGTGGTAAATAAGATTAGAGAGAGTTGCCTTAGATGATTTGGTCGTTGATATGCTTCTCGATTGAATGAAAAAGCATAAATACCACTTGAATAGGTCGAGACTCCTAGAGGAAGAAGAGGAGGAAACAAGAGATGAGGGAAGAAAGGAAAACATAATTTTCATTGCCTAAACACCCGTTATAGCAGGGGGCTTATTTACATAAAAAAGGATAGCTGTCTAAATACAAACAAACCAAGTTACAATAATTGCCCCGTCTATTAAGGGTTTATTTCCTATAAAAACCATGGGTCTGTTCACTCAGGCTGATTTTTAGACGGGCTATACATGATTAACTTTGAATATTTGAATTGTTATCACAAGCTTGTTCTTCTGAATTATGGATCCATTCTTCAACTTGTTTTTGTATTACATGTGCATCCAAATGAATGTATTGCTACTTAACACTTCCGCCCTATAAAAAACTAACCTTGTCCTCAAGGTTATGGGATGGATAAACCTCCATAGAAAGCATAACATTTAAAAAAAAAAAATGTCAAGGGATGGAAAAGAAGAGGAGAGAGTTGAAAAAATCTCCCAAGTTGCCTTATTTGGAGTAGATATGTCCATTGTAGCACCTATTTAGCTGGTTTTCCATGTATTTGTATAATGGGAGTAGCTAGGATGGCATGAGGTATGCTTAGTGGTTGGTTATTATGACTTAGAGGAGGAAGATGCGTAAAGGGAGTGTGGATTGCAAAAAAAAGTTTTGAGGGTGGAGACATCGAAGGCTGGGTGAATTTTGTTTTTTGGAAGTGTTAATCCACATGCTACTGGACTAACAATTGATTGGACCTTAAGGGGCCAAAATAACGTTTGATTAATTTAGAGTGTGTGTGGTTAATGTTTGAATTTTGACGAAAAGGTTGTAATTTTATTAAACCCCAATCTCCTACCAATAAGTGTAAATCCAGTCTATAATGATCAACCATTAATTTCTTTCTATGTTGGGCTTCCTGCATGTTAATGCAGAGAGTTTGTAAAAGAGTTTGATGGGTGTTAGTAATGAATCTAGAGTATGAATGTTTGTGATATCGTTAACATTTGAAGGTATTGAAGGTGGCACATGACCATAGCATGCCTGATATGGAGAGATCTTAATGTCTGAGTGTTTGGACGTATTATAAGAGAATTCGGCTCAACATAAAAAAAGTATACCATAATTTGTGTGTTGGAAACGTAGGAAAGAAAGTATTATTTTAAACGTGTATTTAGGACATCGGTTTTGGTCATCTATTTGTGGATGATAAGTGGTCCTTTAATGGAGTGCAATACTACTTAAAAGAAAAGATGATGCTGGAACTTGCTTAAAAAAATGTTATTCCTATCATAGACAATAGACTTTGAGAAACCATAGACTTTGAGAAACCGTGTAAACGAACAACCATATTGGTAAAGAGAATGACAACTTGAGAGGCTGAATAAGTGGTGGGCAAGTGACCAAAATGGGCATATTTTGGTAAATGATTAATAACAACAATTATAATAGTATAACCTCTAGATTTTGGTAGACCCGTTGTAAAATTCATGGACAAATCCTCCCAAACTTGATAAGGTATGGGAAGAGGAGCCAGTAGGCAAGCAGGTGCCATGTTAGAGGATTTGGTTTCCATATGTAAGCCTTGCTAATAAAATTTTGAAGTGGGGCGTTTGATATTTTTAAGTGTGCCGCTGTGACTTCTAAGAGGTAAAGAATGAAATTCAATAAATAAAGCAGTTTTAAGTGCAATTTTCCTACTAATGTAAATGCAGTTTTTATAATATAAAAGATTGTCCCTAATATTAATTGCAAGCTAAAAAAATTATTCATGTGCAGCACCTTTATTTATTTGCCAAGTACAAACCAAAAAGCTAAGCTGATGACCATAAAATTTATCTATTTTTTTCAATTGATAGCTCCAATTATCTGAAAATGTTCACTATAATTTCAGTTAATATTAGAAAACATAGAACTTGTATTACACATTTTATTGAAGATATTTGATGGTTTTTAATAACAAATACATGTAAATTATAATATGTTGGATTTAAATTAGACGTGGATGATATCTGATCTTATTGGAAAGCAATTTTAAGAGATAATAACCTCCGGGCTTAAAATGAATATGGGAAAACAAAGGGGCACTCAATGAATGTATTTTAGGGAAATCTTAGAGAAATGCTATAGTAAATTAGTAATGATTTAAAAAAGATTCAAAATATGCCTATTCATCCTTTATTTGTAAAGATCCAATGACTACAAAAAAGGATAAAAAGTACAAAAAAATATGATCTAGTACAATTTGTTCATGACACGTGTTACGATCTGATAGGTGTTTGTTGACCCTTATATACTGAACCACGTGCAATAGGAGTGAAATCGACAAATTTGACAATGCACGCTTAGACGGAACACGTCATTTGAAGGGTTAAACAACCTCCGATTGCCAAACGGAGGGTGACACGTGATCAACATGTCGAGTTCTTCTAAGTCGAGACCCCTCACAGTCAAATCGGACGATATCAGTACAAAGGTACTACTGACAGCTGAAATTAACACTCGTCATCGCCCAAACGACGTCCGATCGCAAAACGGATTATGCTGTTGCATCCGGAACATCATCGACATTCTTGATTAATTGGGATCGACCGAGGTGATGGAATGAATCTCGAGGAGACGACACATAAATTAACGAATTTGGCACTCGAGGTCGCCCTAATGACGACCGATCGCATAACGTACTTAGCCATTGTGTCCGGAACATCGTTGATATATATATATATATATGATTAATTATAATAAAAATAATAATTATTATAATAAAAATAATTACCTAATTATCTAAGGAGGCCGGCTATAAGGTTCGGGCAAGAGTCGTATGGAGGGATCGGACAAGGTGCGGCTAGGGAGGCTTCGGGTATGAGGCTTAAGAGGGGGAGATGCTCGGCTCTAACAGAGATAAGGTGACTGGATGGGGATCGGGCTGGATTCGATCTCAGAGGAGGAATGGCGGTGACTTCAACGGCTAGGTGTGGAGATAGGTCGGTTTATTCTTCCCCTCTCTCTCTTTCTCGGGATTGAGTGGATCGGACGGGTGAGAAGCTCGAAATGCAGGCGGATGGAGTTCGAGCTTGGTGAGATCAGCTTCGATAGTGGGAGAAGAGATCGTGTAGGAGGGAGAAGTGGGGAGATCGGGAGCAGCGAGAGAGTATTTCGCGTGAAGAAGGAAAGAGCTCCCGAAGGCTTCGTTTGGTCGGGTATTTAACGACGCGAGTGAACCTCCTCGAGCGGAGTTTGAGCAGGGATTACGAGATGGAGACTTGAGCGGCGCCGAATCGACGCAATTTCGGCAGGATCCAAGGATCCGATGAGTACGAGGTATGTCTGCTCTCCTCTTTTGGTCTTTATACGGAGGTCAACAGTATCAAAGACCCGCCTCTGTCGTATCTTTGATTCGACCATGAAAAAAATAAGAATTAAAGAAGACCTGTGTCTATTATATATTTGATTTGGCCAGGATAAATAAATTATACAAAGACCTCGCATTGTTGTATCTTTGATCTTTCTGGGATGAAAAAATGCAAGAGCCTACTCAGCACCTCCTACACCGGTGGTGGGATGTCAAAAGGTTGCCGAAATTTTGCATGATCGATGATATTCACATAATTAAATAAAAATGAACATTTGAATTAAAAAATGAATAATTTCATAATTCTAATCTTGGGTCAAAATACTCGTCATTTGCAAAGTCTTATAATCATGATGATATTAAGACCAAATTATCTATAATATGTATTGACGTAAAATAAATTTGCAAGATGTACTTGCGGAATGCATGGACTAATTGAGAAGACATGAACAAATTATTATATTAACAATAGAAATTAAATGCATTCAGAAGTCAAATTTTATTACCATGAACTCACTTCATGTAAATTACATCAAGGCTTTCATATCATGAGTTATGCAACAAGTATGGTCTAATCTTATGCCATACTTCATTCTTAATATGATGATGAGATTATTAACTCGAGAGTATTAAAAGATAGATGAATATTTAATAAATACACATTTTATAGATACATACAGTTTCATAGGCTTGAAATGAGATTTGCAAATTAATATTTTTTTAGCTAGTAATTATGACCTTTAGAAGCAAATATTTGTCAACATAGGTATGATGTAAATGAAGTCTTTGATATTAAAACAACATAGCAACATCGAATAAGTGTTAAAGTGTTATTGAGTTTTTTATGGACTATAAAAGATAGCTATCTTATCTCCAAAAAAGTTAGAAGTCGTTGTAAGCAACCAATTTGGCCCCAGGCTGATGGAGAATGTACGGAAGGTTCTTTAGTGGCTATCTAGATATTGCACCAAAAAAAAAACTTTGGCAGACAATAAAGGTTTAGTGGATGTGGTAAAGAAAGATAGTGATGGCTAGGCAAGCATTAACAAACAATGAAATGATAGGAATGCAAACAGATCATATGTATCAATATAGTGCACGTGATTGGAGGTTGATCATTGGAAAAGTAGGATAAAAGTTATGACATATAAGATTCATGATATAATTTAAAGCAGGCTGTGAGGAAAAGTAGGTCAATATAATTGATGTGAAGCTATGTGTTAGACCGGTCCACTGGAATGGACCAGCCGGTCTAGGCGGGACCGGCTTAAGTGCGAAACATCGGAATTTTTCTGCCTGGGTGGAGGCCGCGCGAGCCGCTAGCCTTGCGGGAGCGTTTTAGGAAGGAATTTTGAGGAAGATTAGGAGGGAAATTGAATGTAGAGACTATTTAGGGAATTCCTTTTGATTTGTATGCATTAAATACTTTGTTTTCCTAGGGTTAGGACATCTTGAATTTGGCTGAAATTTGTGATCTCTTAGATTTAGGTTCTCTTTGGGCTCTAGCGGCATCTAGAGATTTGGGAGAGATCGATCCTCCTCTCGAATTGAGGATCAAGGGTATCTTGCTATTTTCCGTGTTCCTTTCATCAAATAATACAAGTTATCTATTGTTTTTGTGATTTTGTGTGGACTTTTGTGAAGATTTTTCGCTGTTTTCCGAAGATTGATAGGAAATACTTGATATCTACAAGTGTTTCCTATCAAATTGGTATCAAAGCAAGTCGTGGGACTGGTGGAGGGCTGATTTCGGCAAATTTCAGCGGTGATTAATTGCCCGGAAGGAAGGGGAATTGCTATTTTTGAAGTTCCAAATCCAGAATTTGTGGTTTTACAAACTTCGGATTGTGATGGCGGCCAAAAAGGTGGATGCTCTTGAGGAAAGGCTTGAAGGGGAGATGAATCAAATATGGAGGACAGGATTTCCTCCATGGAAGGACAAGTCGCCGATCTTCGAGTCATGATAAAGAAGATGTTAGAAATTCAAAATCAAACGGCGGCTTCCGTGGCAAGATGGGAAGGAAAAAGTACGAATTCGGAAATTCGTAGGGAGGAAGATGAGGTGGAAATCACGGAAGGAGGAAGAAGAAGGCCCCATCTGGAGCCTGTCGAGGGAAGAAAGAGGGGGTGGATATAGGGAATGCTAAGAGGGATACTATGGTGGTCGAGGTGCTGATTTTGAAGACAGAATGGGGAATTTCGAAGGGGGTTTGGGCTATGGTAGAGCAAGGGAAGACCGAGAAACATGAATTGCACCTAGACTTGGGAGAGGGGAAACTATGGAAGAATTCGGGGCAATGGGGGCGACAATAAGGTGAGGAAGTTGAAGATGCCCATATTCGAAGGAGAATATGCGTATGGGTGGATTTACAAGGAGTGATACTTCGCCGTCAATGAGCTAATGGAAGAGGAGAAGCTGACCGCAGCCGGATTGTGCTTGGAAGGAAAAGCCCTGTCATGGTATCAGTTGAGAGATCAGAGGAGGCCTATCAGGAACTGGAGGGAATTCAAAAACTGCATAATAGAACGTTTTCAAACTGACAGGGGAGGAGATTTCCATGAGCAGTTCTTTGCTCTAGTGCAGGAGGGGTCAGTAGCAGACTACCGTGAGCGGCTCGAGCACCTGGCTAGTAGGGTGGAGTGATTATTAGATATCATATTGGAGGGGAACTTCATGAAAGGGTTGAAGGCACAGATCCGAGCGGCAGTGAAAGTTCTGATGCCTAGTGACTTGGAGGAGGCAATGAAGTTGGCACAACTGGTAGAAAATTAGAATAATATGGAGAAGGGAGTCAGGAGCAGCAGCTCAGGAGACTCTTACAAGACTACGCAACTCTTTTAGCACCCAAGGGGCCTGCATCAAGCAACATTAATGAGACCACTAGGCAGAAGCCAGTAGGAGGGAGTGGGGACAACTTCAAGAAGATCACTGAGACAGAATTACTAGAGAAGAAGGCAAAGGGGCTTTGTTTCAGATGTGACGAGCGGTATACACCAGGGCACAGGTGTAAGGACCGAACTCTTCAGGTTCTTACTGTTTGTGATGAAAAAGGAATGGAGGGTATCGTCTTTCTGCCTTGCAGACAAGGTGGATATTTGGGAGGGGAGTATTGTTAGACTGGTCCACTGGGCTGGACCAGCCGGTCCAGGCGGGACCTGCTTAATGGCAAAACAGCAGAATTTTTCCGCCTGGGCGGAGGCTGCGCAAGCCGCTAGCCTTGCGGGAGCATTTTAGGAATGAATTTTGAGGAAGATTAGGAGGGAAATTGAATGTAGGGACTGTTTAGGGAATTCCTTTTGATTTGTATGCATTAAATATTTTGTTTTCCTAGGGTTAGGGCATCTTGAATTTGGCGAAAATTTGAGATCTCTTAGATTTAGGTTCTCTTTGGGCTCTAGCGGCGTCTTGAGATTTGGGAAAGATCGATCCTCCTCTCGAATTGAGGATCAAGTGTATCTTGCTATTTTTCGTGTTCCTTTCATCAAATAATACAAGTTATCTAATATTTTTGTGATTTTGTGTGGACTTTTGTGAAGATTTTTCGCTGTTTTCCGAAGATTGATAGGAAATACTTGAGATCTACAAGTGTTTCCTATCACTATGGGTCCATGAGGAGATTATGACGGGCCGAGTCTCTTGCAGGAGCAAGTATATAGGGGTAGTGAATTTTGTAGCAAGAAGAATGTTGCGAGTTAAAGCGAGTATGAGAGGTGGCCAATATTACAAGTCACGAGCAGCTAAGGCATTAAAATATAAGATATGAAGGCATTGCTACGAAGCACATAACTCATCATTCACTAGGGTGTTTTCCTTCCAAATGATTGCTCGCTATCCATGATCTTAAAAAGTTAAATTGATAATTTATATGAAATATATTTGTGGGCCTCCTAGGGAAAGGCTTGATGTGTGAAATACATTTTGCATACCAAGAACGAAATGCAAGTATAAATATATTATGTCAGCATATCAATTAGAAGGCATTGTATTATACATAAGTAAATACAAATAGATCATGCAAGTGCAAAATACAAAATATATTATGCATGTGTATAAACATTAATCAATGTGTTAAATTCATTACACAAATACATTGTAAAAATATTTCACTTGTGCTCTGATCTTTATATCAAACTCCAAAATATGCGATCTGAGAATGCTTTCCGGACTTTGTAAAAGTGCTCAAACACTCCAACAATATGTGTTGCCAGAAAATTTTAATCGGAGAGAGCTATTTAATTTTCAAAATGTCATTAAAATTCTGAAGTCTTTTATACAAAATCTAAACTCAAATCCTTTTAAAAATTTAAACGCTTCAAATGAATTTCATCACTAAAATCTTAAAATCAAAATTCATCCACACTTTGCAACGGTTTGGTGAGGCTGGTGAATTGAAGAATAACATTAGCTCATAAAGAGTAGATGTCTTGTGGAATGTATTACTACCATTAATTCTCAATTAATTTCTCACTAGTAGGGTTAAGACATAGTCTGCGCCTTATTATTGGGTATTTTTGCTGCAAAATGGCACCAATATATTACAATCACGGTCAATACATGTATGTTTTCTAATGATTAAAAGCCTTTTGAGTAATGAATTATGGGGTACGCTCGATAAGATATAAAACTCTATATTAGCTAAGGTTGACTTAAATTTATCATCTTAGACAAACATCTACCCCAAGTCTACGAGGTATTTTTGGACAAAGCAATTAATGGCTATCGATGAGGTTTCTTCTGTCAGGTCGGGTTGACTACGCCCTCTTACTAAGTAGACCAGAGACCATGTCTTGGTATGATGAATCTTGATTGAATATGTCATCATTCTCCTATCTTTAAATATATGATAATAAAATTTAAGTCATAAACTCGAAAATTCAAATACAAATTCAAATATGAAAATTGTTGTTATTATACGTTAGGTAATTATTGCGTCCTATTTAACAACTAGTCTTAATCTAAAGTTCTCTCTCGTTATCGATAGGGATAATTAACCATAGGGGATTACACCTATGGGAAATTAGAACTTAGATCATAAAGTCCTCGCAAAATGAGGCAAAATCTCTAGGCAGTGTCTTATTTAAAACCTGATCTACCTTCTGAAAATTTACTATAGAACTTAACACTCTCCCCATTTAAAAAAAAAATAGAAGAGGCAGGGGCACAAATTTTCATAGCCAACAACTGTAGAACTTGATAAGAATTTTTGTATGTATTAAAATTTCAATTAAGAAATTTAAAATTGAGTGGGAAAGTTTGAAGTGGAGTAGGAAAAATCTTTCTAGGAGCGTTATGGTGTTGTTCTTTGGGGGTGTTGCCCTCTCTGTTTAGAGGGTAATCAGTGAATGTTGTGGCACCGTGCATGGAAGCTCTGAGGTGCTAAGCTCCCTATTTGGGGAACATTTTAGGAAACATTATGGCATTGAAAGGGAGCGTTGCGGCATTGTATTCGCTATTTGGAAGTGTTGAACACCATAACCCAGCCATAATGAAAGAAAATACAAAAATATGTTGGATCATTACCTGTGCTAAGATTTCACACAAATCCTGCTCAAAATCTCTGCACAGCAACCATTTTCACATCACTTGTCCTGTCCTAGCTGCTCTCTATCCATCTGCAAGAAAAATAATGATAAAAGCTGGGAATTTGAAATCATAATGTTACTCTCAAGCAGTTACCTTCCCTCTTATTTCTCACGCTCCAACCACAGCATCTGACCTCTTCTTCCACGTGAACCCAGAGCCTGTTGATATTCTCCGTGCTTGCACCCATGCCGTCCAACCCAGTAACTACCGCTATTTCCCTTGTCTCGGACATTACCTGCGACCAAATTCTCATACCACTTCCGCCTCTTTCTTCCATTGTGCTGTTCAATCTCACGTCGAGCCAAGCCTCACTCCGTCAAAGACCTCTTCCCAACCTTTCCCACTCCTTCCAACCCTTGTCCGAACACTTCCCCACGACCGAACCACACAAGCTCCCGTCGATGCTTCCATTCGCAAACTCCGAAGCCTTCTCCTCTGACTTCGTTCACGACTGGATCTAATCTAGCCCTTCTCAAATCCCTCCAGCCAGCCTTCCTTGCCGAACTCCTAAAGCATTCCAGAGCTCCCATTCTTCTGCCGCAAGACTTGCACCCACTTCCTTATCTAACCGAGATCTTTGTCACCTCCTGCTTTGGACCCCCGCCTCTTTTTATCTACTCAATACAAAATCTCCACAATCCCAAGCAGCCGAACCTGTAGAGCCAAGAAAAGCTCCGCCCGACCTTTATCCTAGTCCTGATCTCCTCAGTCGACCCTTACTCATAGCCGATTGACCTATTTAGGGAATTAGGTGTATATGATTTATCTTATTTAGTTATTAATAATTTTTTAATTGCTCATACTATTATAATTATTGCTATTACTATTATAATTACTATTATTATTATTATCTAAGTAGATTATATATTTGTGTATATATATATATATATATTTGTTTATAGGTATATTTGTTAACGTTTTAAAAAATAAGAAAAAGTTTGTATCAAAAAAAGGTTTAAAAAAAAAGATAAAGTATTCAATATATATAAGGGAAAAAATGAAATATTTTGTCTCGATTTATATGCTGCGTCCTTGACTCCTTGTCGTCGACCCCAAAGGTATATACTTCTCAAACTCAAATATTCTCATTCTCATTGTTTGCGGCGGACCAGCAAACCCTAAAATCTCATTTTCGACGTTTGCGGAGGACCGGAGAGCCACCTATACACACTCTCATAGCACGGTAGGAGAGAGCCCGGTGCGGCGCATATGGCGAGGTGGGTAAGCCCTATACAAGCTATTGTAGTGTGGTGGGGAAAGCCACTTGTGTTCTGGTACTGGTACTTTTGAAGACCTCATACACGCTCTCACAGCGTAGTGAGATAAAAGATGTACGGCTCAGTGTCCCCCAACACCTACCATACATGCTCGAGTAGCTTGGTGGGATGACCCAGTTTCTCATCTTTTTTCCTAAATTGGGGAGACACCGGGAGGCTGCCGAATTTTTCAGTGAAATAGAGGACCTAACTTAAACAAAATGTGGACAATTTGAATTTAAGCTCATTTTTGAATTTGAGCAAACAAAAGGATTTTAACTCAATTTAAACAATAAATGAAATTGCAAACATTGAATTCAAATTCGAATGAACACTTACAGGGGACTTAAACTTGCAAATCATATGAGATGAACAAAGATTTGAACATTTGAACAAAATGCAAGAAGACTTGATTTGGGACCGCATTGAACATGAACTTGAACTAAACTCAGATTTGAACAAAACTTGGACAAAATAGGGGATTTGGACTTGAGCTCCATTCTGAACAGAACTTAATGATTAACAAAGACTTAGACCTAAGTAAAATGAAATTCAAATGAGTTTCAACTTGAACTTGATTTGAACACTAATTGAGCATGACTTGAGAACTTTTGGACAAACGGGTACTTTATTTGGACATTTATTCGAATATCGAATGAACTAAAGCTCAAACTTGAATAGATAAGAAAGACTTGCAACTTGATTGCGAAGGACTTGATCTTTAACTTGGATATAAACTACAGTGGCTTTGAACTTGAACAAAATAGAAAAATAAGCAATCAATAAAAATCAGTTTGAATCATGACACCAAAGTCCTAATGATTGCTAAGAATGACAAAGTCGAAGAAGTCAAATAACAAGTAATGGTTCATGTATGAATCGACCACAAACTTTGATATGAAATTCCTTCCTGGACAATAGTATTCAACTCGTGATAATAATTTCTGTGAAATAGAGACATCAATGAATAAGTTAACAGTTCATCATGCAAATTGCAAATTATTCTCAAGGATGAAGAACTTGCAAATACGATCTGCTTGCAAGTAATAGGGAGGTGTGGTCAATATGGAGACTTCAACAAGTATCAAGTAACTTGTAAGATATACAGAATATATCACCTACGAGTGATGATAACTCGCCAAAGTGGATGAAGCAATTCCCTATCGTTCGTATGCAAGTAAGAAGTATAAAACCATTATAGGCATGAGTACTTATGAGCAAATGTAAAAGTATTGCAATAGATGCCATGCAACAAACACCAAGACATTCTAATAGGAAACAACAGTCTGGTGTCAAGCAAATGTATCAATCTTTTTACGAACTGTCGTAGGAGACCCATCACATACAAATAAGGATATTTAAAAGCTGATGTAGGAAAGCTCTCACTCATACAGAAGTCAAATCAAAGGTGATGGCAATTAATGTGGTGAATGCTAAACCGTCCCATATTCATCAACCACTTAATATCAGTCAAAAACACCGATTCCCTATAACTTAAAGAGACCGATATACATGAATTTGACATGGTGGAATTCTCAAATCATATGAATTTTAATCACTAAGTTGAATCATGCAAACAAAGATCAATGAAGGGATGGAAAACTCATGCTAAAGCTTTGGCATGCATGATTTGTTGTTTCACAAGCAATAATCAACATGAATGTGACAAATGAAGGAGAGCTAAAAATATGCAAGTTTTATGTGCATGAGCTGATGTTTCAGACTACTGCAAATATGACTGCTACCCTTTTGCAACCAAAGGCAATTGACATACAGGAAATATGACATATTTGCGACTAAAGGTTAAGTGGAAAATGCAATGACATGTCTACATTCAATAGCAAGGAATTTTAAGGAATGACCACTTATTTCAAAGTATGGTACATCGGTAAAAATGCAATCATCTAAGGTTGAAATAATTGATTCTTTATTTAAGCTGACAGCAGAGAATGATGATGATGGCAAATTAAAAAAGTTACCTACTAATTCCTATATGAGTTCTGAGAAGAGAAATTCAGATCAAATCATTTTGGAGTGATTGAACCTTAGTTCAACAAGATTCTAAACATTGAGTTGGATAAGATTATTGAGGCTTGCAAGTTTCTTGATGAACAATGATCGTGCATCCGACATACCTCCTATGAATAAATATTGAAGTAATATAACAAACACAAACTTCTATAAGCTTTCGTAGAAGACTCGTTAAATATCCAAAATACCCTCGCACATGCACTGTAATATATACACATATAGGTAAACTAAAGGGACATATAATCATATACCTGTATGGGCCCCTCCGAGCATGTTGTGGGAACACACATGACGTCTAATGATTTTGCTCGGCTCAATAAATTCTAACCTGATCCTCCTAAGCAGGTAAATAAGAGTCGATAAGGTTCAACAAATAATTATAAAATGCCCCCAAACACCCGCATGAGCCTTGACAAGCATGTTATACATACACACATGACGTTTAGGGATGCTGCGTGGGTTAGTAAATAAACCTAAGCTCGAGCCCGATACTTCTACGTGGATAGATAAGAGTCGATACGGCTCGAACTATCAAACAGATATACGATCAGGGCATCAACCAGAATATCTATTTTATACATTTATATGAGGCCTTCAAAGCCTATGAACGGAGAAATTCATTAACAAAAGCATAAAGCCTATGAAACTCGATCCTTTGTTGACAGTTCGACAAAATTGACAAGGTTTAATGCACAAATAGAAATGACCTCAAACAACATGATGATGGCCGTGTTGAATGCCTATTTCAACTAGAGGGATTAACTCCAAATATTTCAAATACCTCCAAGTTCTTAAATACCCATCCAAAAATCCAAAATCTCCAAAATTCAAAATATTTAAAAATGAATTTTAACCATGAATCATTTTAAGCAAAATCTATCCATTCTTCGCAATAGTTTATCTGGTGGACAAATTTAAATTTATTTCAGCTCAAATAGAGAAAATGCCCAGTCAAAAATATCACAAGGATTCATTCTCAAATAATCTTCTGCCAGTAAGGACATGGTACGTGTCCTCTGACCGATGATTTTATCATCAAATAGCATTACAGGATAAACGGTTATGACTTGAACTGAGTGGTTTTTCCGCCAAATGGCACCATGAGATAAAAGTTATGGTCAAAGCAATACGTTCTTTAGTAGCCTCGAATTCCTTGAGATATGAATCAATAAGAAATAATCGATAGGACACAAAGCCCTCTGTTAGCTAAGGTGGATTCAAATTTGTCTCATTAGACAAATATTCACCTCAGGTTTACAAGGTCCCCTTGGACGAAGCAACCTATCGCTGCTAACAAGGATCCTTCTGTCAGATTGTGTCGACTACCTCCTATGACTAAGTAGACCAGGGACCACGATGGCCCGGGACGGCGGAACCATAGGATCTTGATCAAGTCCATCATTAATTCCCCGACCATTCACTTTAAGTATGAGATTGTGACATTTCTGATTTTAAATTTCCAAATTTTTTGTACTTAAGCCCATGACTGCTAGTATATGCCAGATAACACGTATCTGATCGACGATTAGCCTTAATCGAAAGTTCTCTCTCGTTATCGAAAAATGTAATTAACTATAAGGGCTTACGCCTATAGGAAATCAGAACTCATATCATAAAGTCCTTGCAAATTGAGGGCGTAATATCTGGATAGTGTCTTATTTACAAACTCATCTGTCTTCCCAAAATTTACCTCGAAACTTAATCCGTTAAAACTCCTCCCGATCAATCAGCAGGGGAGGTCGGGGCCGAATTTTCGGAGCCCACAGGAAGAACCTAGAATATTGTGGGTCGTGGTGATGTTAGGTGCTGGAAAAGTGAGCGCCGCGGCGCTGAAGCAAGAAAATGATGTGTGTTATTTATTTAAATCCATTTGCATCACCTCACCACCATTTTCAAATACCTCAATTGGCCGGAGAAGAGAAGAGAAGAAGGAGAAGAGTAGAAGAGAGAAAAGAAAATAATGAATTCAAAGGTTGCAGAGCTTTATTCTTTCATCGGGACTGTTCAATGTCATGTATAAATGTCCAATCTGTTAATCCCTGCATTTGCATTCTTGTTCATATGGTAGGAATTTTGATATGGGAGAAGTTAAAGTACACTACCAGTTATTATATAGGCCCAAATCTATATTCTGTTTCTTGCCCCATCAATCTTGTAGAGGTGCGGAATTTTTAAAAGAGTTATAAGTAAAAGTTTGTATTTTTATTAGTTTTTGAAATGAAATCTGGATGGTTTATATTTTTATTAGTTTTTAATTATTTGATTGACTCAGCTGTGTCCCAGTGATGAGATAGTAGGTTCTTGTTTTAATTCTTCGATTAGGTTTTGTGGCATTGCATTTATATATGCAATTGAGCTCTCATTGAGGTGAACATAAATTAATTTGCTGTTATTCGTGGTCAACTCGTTTAGCAGACTGAGAAACTTGATTAGCAATTAACTATTAAGTTGTGCATATATAATGTCCTGGTCAAACAGTTTTCCACTGTCATCGATGTTTTTTAACTGTATAATACTACTGGCCCATCACTGCAAATCTGAAGAATGTTTACACGGGAGTAAATGGTTCTTTTTTAATGTACACCGCCAAATCAATTTATATATTATGTTTGGGTTGATATAATTTTTCTTGCTTTTATTTTGGAACCCTTCAACTGCGCTTGCCTATCATTGCTGATCAGTCGGTTTGCCATTTTTTATTTTTTTATTCAGGTCAAGATTACGAGAGCCAAGAGGGACGTGTATGCAGCTGAAATTGATGATATAGTAGCAGTCCAAATTGGACCAGGAAATTATGAACCATCCAGTGGTACCAAGAAATGGATCTTGTTCGCTGAGGGAAAAGATTACAGAGTTTGGGAAGCATCATAACTGTTGATGTATTGCCAGGTTAACTATGTTGCTTGTCATAATAATTTGTTGTGCTCAATGTATACGTCAAAAAGAAAATCATTTTATTTTTAACCCTGATAAAGTTATTTTCAATGGAATCTTGAGCTTATGCAGTAGCATGGCAGTGATTTTAATTTCCGGTGGTCTATAGAAAGAATCATTATGTTATAGGATACGAAATGAGCATATATATGAAAAATGTTGGAGTAGCTCCAATGGAAAATAAGATTAGAGAGAGTCGCCTTAGATGGTTTGGTCACATTAAATGGAGGCCTTCCGATGAGCCGGTTAGAAAAGCTGAGGTATTAGATTTGACTTATACTGAGAAAGATAGAGGTAGACCTAAAAAGATTTGGTTAGAAAGTATTAGAAACGGTCTTTCTTTATTAGATTTAAACGAGAATTTGACTTTTAATTGGACACAATGGCGAAAAAGGATTCATGTAGCTAACCCCACGTAATGGGACAAAGGCTTGATGTTGTTGTTGTTGTACAAATGTACATCTAAGATAGACTATAGAAAGAATCATTGTCTTTTTAATGATTGGGTATCTGCTGGCAAAGTTCACCATGGCCTTCTTAAATATTTTTAGAATGCTTATACAGGTCGGTTTACTTAATTGAAGGACGAGATTATTCTTTCTGGAATTCATCTTGCTCCGTCAAATAATGTTTAATTTCATAAAGTTTCATTAGATAATCTTCCTTTCCTCTTTTTATCTCTAAGCAAGGCTAATGTGAATACCCTAATTGCACATCATTTTTTAAAAATAGCAAGCCTATAAACCAAAGTTAACATTCATCCCTCTTGCTTGAAATAGATTTGCCAGTGCATAACACTCAAGCCTATCAGCAAGTAAATTTTAGGAGGGGAGATTTGGGAACCAATGTGAGAATGGAGAGAATAATTGAATAGAAAAAAATTACAATACAAGTGCTCAATGAGTTCAAAAAATTTAAGATACTTCGTTCAACTTTTATTTATAGGAATTTAAGGGCTAGAGAAGTTACATCTTGAAAAAATAGATACATTAATTTAACACTCCTTGTACAAGTTGCCTTAGACATGTGTTGACCTTTGGTAGGTTAAAAGGAGAATGGTGTTGTATAGCCTTGGTATAGAGTCGGTTTAGGCAAGTTTACTTCATTTATTTTTATTTATAGGGATTTAAGGGCAAAATAAAATGTTACAACTTGAAAGAATAAAATATATGATTATTTAACAATTGTAGTACAAGTTATTTTAGATATGTTTTACCTCTTATTAGACTAAAAGGAGATTGGTGATGTGTAATATTATCTCTGGGGGAGTTTAGTAATATCGAGTAGGTTTTGGCAACTTTACACGGGAGAGTCAATTGGTGAGAATTGAGTTGAGAGTGCTTGTTGCTAGTACATATTTTGGGGTCGCTAGTTATTTTTTTATGGAGCATCAGATCGTTGTAGGAGATGGAGGTGAGTGAGTTTTTTTTAGGAGGAAGATCTCTTTGATCAGAAGCTCATGGTAGGGCAAGGTGAGAGCCTCATGGGTAGGCATTGGTGAACATGAATGAGGGTACTTGCTTTGGATGAGAGCGAGTGATTTTGTTGGTTGGCTTTCTCTTATATGGTGAGTGGTGAGTTACTTGATCTATGAAGACTCCTAATAGCCTCTTTGAAGAATGTTCTTCTTCTATAAGCTCGAGAGAGTAGTGCCCAATGATCTCTAGATGAGCTCATTTATGAGGCTTGCTGGTTCTGAGTTTCTTCATCATGACCATCGATAATCTACATTATTTCCTTTAATCACTTAACCCTTTGATAGGCGAGTGTTGGAAAGAATAACTGAATTAATTGATGAGTATTAAATATGGCAACAAAATAGTAACTGAAATGTAAAATACAAAATGACAAGCTTGTTTATTGTAGTGTTAATAGCTACACAAATTATTGGTGATATGATGCCACTTTTCTTCCTCCCTAATAAATAGCAACTCTTTCATTATGAATCATTTGCTCCATTGAATATGTGAAGAAGATATATCTGCAATCTTCGAGTAGGTTATGAATCTTGCTTGAGCGGGTGTTAAACATTCTTATGTACATAATATTATGTTTTGTGTATTATTATACACATTCTTTCATGTTGAACCTAAAAAAGTCACATTTGGTCATAATTAAGAAATGCCTCAGTATCTTGTAAGTACACCCAACCTATGTATTTAGTGCCCTAGGGATAGTGTAATTTACTTGGTAGGTTATTCAATCAAACTAATACTTTGCAAGTTATAGAGTTGATAGGAAAAGCATATTAGATATGTTCCTATTTATTGGTCATTTATTAATTTCTCGGTTCAATAAAAAAAGTAAAATATTTCAGCCTTATTCATTATGAAGTAGAATACAAAACGTTAGGGAGTTTGGTCACCCAAGTTCTATCATTGAAGTAACAACTTCTTGATTTTAGTCTGTAGGTAAACATCATACCTATCCAATGTGATAATATCAATGCTTAGTATTCATGTCCAAAACACATCTACATACACCATTACTTTATTTGAAATTATATATTGAAAGGTGATGATGATATTTAATTTATTGATATTAAAAATCAATTGGCATATTTTCTTACAAAGGCTCTTAGTTATGAGAGGTGTTGAGTACTTAGAACTTGATTTGGAGTGATAGATATGGATGCTATATCATATATTATGTTTCTTATACTTATGTTATTAACATTTGTAATTATGCTTATTTGGTCAACCTAGCCAAATGATTGGGCTCATTAGGTTTAGAAATGTTTATGATGTTTAGAAGTATTTAGGTGGCATGCCAAGGTTTAGAATGGTTGAAATGCATGAAAAAAGGTACTTAAGTCAAAATGCCCATTCATGTTGGATTTAGTCAACCGTGGTCAACCATGGCTCACCGTGAGTTCCAGTGGGTTTCAAAATGTTTATATAAGTTTTTAGGAGGTTTAGGACGTAATGGAAAGATTTAGAATAGTTTAAATCAAAGATTTTATCTTTTGGTCAAAAGTGGTTTAAATTTTGAACTTGATCAATCATGTTCAACCAAGGTTATCCATGACATCAAATGAGATTAGGCTTGCTTAATGATGAGTTTAGGGGTCTTAGGGATCAATCCTAGTGATGTTTATAATGAAGTTTAGATCAAATTCCATGCATATGTTTGTATTTAGGATTTAAAGGAATAAAAAGTCAACCTTAGTTAACTTAGGTCAACCATGGTCAATTTTGATTCCCAATTTGTTCAAATCATTCAAATGATGATTATGAACAAGTTTAAGTCATTTTAAAAGGTCTATAGTGAAGTTTGATCAATATACCATGTTAAGTGGCATAAAATGTAAATATGGAGAAGTTTGAAGAGAGCATGGAGGGAGGTTCTAATGAGGTGTTAGTTTTATACAATTGCCAGATCAAGTTTTAAAGGATTCACCTAGGATTTCTATCAAGCTAGGTACTCTATTAGAAAAGAATTCTTATATCCTATGAATTTGAATGAATTGAATTGACCTCATATAAAAATGAGGCCAACACTTATTTTCTAGCCTTTTTAAAATTTCACAATCATACTAATATTTCATTAATAAACCCATCTTATTCCTATAATATTGAGGAATGATATCTTGGAACATAAATAAAGTGTCAAAATTCTTTTATTTTTTAATACATTTGTAAAATATAATGTTCATCTTTTTAGATGATATGTTATTCTATCTACTGTATTTGATTATATAAATGATAAATTTTTAAAATCCTAATTTAATTTTTAAAAAATCATGTAGAATATAATAACAGTTTTTCAAGATATTTTGATATTCTCCTTTTTTTTATTTGATTATAAAAATGAGAAATTCCTTAGAAAATATTATTTTATCTTCAAATCCTTTATAAAATGTTATGTCTATCATTTAAGTTCGTGTGTTATTCTTAATGTAGTATTTGATCATAAAAATAGGATCATATGAGTCTCCATGGTTTTCTTTTTCCATAATCCTAATGATTCTTTAATGGGTATTTTGACAGTTAATTGTACAATATATCATTAATCAAAGAGTATGATGCGTTATTCTCCAATCACCGAACGATTATACTAAAGTGCTTGTCGATTTGATCAAATCATTTTCTACATACTAACTTCATACACTATAATGATTCCTATATAAAGCATTTAACAAATTTTTAGTATTTGGAAAGCTTATTTTTATTTGGAAACCTCTTATATAGCCCTTTTTCATGCAAACATTTCAATCCTTTTGACCCCTAGTTTTTAAATCTTTGCATTAGGTCCTTAAGGTTTATATAAACTACGCCAAGCTTGCCCACAACTTAGATTAGGCAAGTGCACTTAAAGTAAGCTTTCATGAGTCATTTCCCATTCTATGGTAGATTGGCTTTAACGAATGCATACTAAACCTTCTTATAATCCTCCTAAACTTAGCATAGCATGCCCATCCCTTGGAAGTTAGCCAAATAGGCTAACCCAAGTGAACCTGAACTTGACCCAATTGAGCCATTTTCCAACCAAGATTAAATTTGATTGATCCTGCCACAGAAGTCATGGACTCAGTGCATCCTAGCCCTTGGTATGTCCTAAGGTGGCCAAAATTGATGCCAATTTGAGCCATTCAAAATTGGTTTCGTTCAAACAACTAGGTTAACTCATCACATGTGCCTAACCTCCTTTAGCTAGTTCCTAAGACATTGGACCATCCAACACCAATCTAATGGCTTGGTTAGACACACCTTAGATGGAATCTCTTCTACATACACTTGCAATCATCTATAAATTTCCCTAATTTTCATGAAGCTAAATTCCAAAAATTCAATCCTTGGCCTTAATGAGAGCCCTAGTAAGCATTCCCGAGCATCTTTATTCCCCGCCACTTCCTTTGATTTTGAATGACCTCCACTAAGCTTGTTTTGGCCAAAATTAAAATAAAAAAAATTAATCATGAATAAAATGAATAATAAATAATATTTAAATCATGATTCATTAAATAAATTTAATCAAATAAAATAAAATAAATAAAATCTTAATAAATAAATAATAAACTAATTTATCAAATAAATAAATAAATAAAATAAGAATACATATATTAAAATTTAGATTTATTAATTAAAATAAA